ATTTCAAAGACAAGCAGGGGCAGAACCAGCCATTTTTAAAAGGGGGGGTTCCCAACCCAGGATAAAGGGGGGGTTCCAACTATATGTCCCCATTCAAATGCATTGATTGTCCAAAAAAAGTTCCAACCCCCGGAACCCCCCCCCCCCCCCCCCCCCCCCCCCCCTAGATCCGCCACTGACAAGTGAAGATTTTATTCAACCAATTAGATGCCACTTGACATCTTAGATTTTTCAGAAGTATGCACTAAATTATTTGGAAAAACTTCAAAGGAACTATCGAGTACTTCAATTCTATAATGCAAAACATTTCTATCAGTCAGGAAAAAGTTACTTATTTTAAGGAAAATTGTGTGTGCATAATAATAATATTCTTACATTTTATACAACCACTGGGACAATACAACTGCTGATGGACTTTCAGTTCAGGGGATGGGAAAGGGGAGGGTACCATCTTATCAGCAGCCAGTGCTTCTGTATTGCATGAATCAGAAAATACAGTTTGTTTTTAAATTTCCAGCTAATGAAAACATGATTGTTCTTATACAGATCCGACCAATAGAGTTTACTTTACACAGATCTAACTGTGTGTAGGTTCCTTATGGTTTTTTAGCAGGCAAAATATCTTTAAGTAATGCTACTGATGCTACTGCTCATATTTAATACCCCAACAAATATGTTTTGCTAGATTCCCAATCTAAGATAAAGATGTTAAACCCAAAATTCAGATTCTTGCATTTATTTGTAAAACACAAAGAAAAAGTCCCTTGAATCAATACATTAGTCCATAAAGCAATGATATATTAATCAATCACAAATAAAAGTATTTTCAAATTTTTCTGTACCTAGGTATATAAAGTTCATATAGCTACATCTATGCAAACATTGAGTTGAATCATCAATTGGAAGAAAGTCTTCAAAATTCAATGCCCTATCACACAAGGTCATGTTTCATGACAAATGTTTGCATAACATGGGTCGATTGACCAAATGAGATTCTCTTAGTAATCCACTAAACACATTTCTTTATAGAGCAAATGATTGAACCTTCCAAACCACTGTCAAAACATTATGAAATCTTGCATTATTTTCAAGGTGAAACCATTTTCAGAAACCATCTAATTCATACAAAAATAGATGATATCTCAGACATCAACAAGTTTGAAAATTCTGCTAAAGGCCTCAGCAATTAAAACTAAAGCAAAATAATAAATAAGTGCATCACATAGTATGTCAGTACTGTAAAGTTAAAAAAAAAGCCTTTAAAATACAAATTATAATACATTTGTAGACATATTATTAACTGACGGATTAGCTAGACTAATTGGTAAACATTGAAAAGGATTCATTGAACTGTCAATTACTTCAAATGTATATAAAAATAAGGAGATGTGGTATGATTGCCAATGAGACAACTATCCATCAAAGTTCAAATGAAGTGGATGTAAGCAGTTTAATAAGTTCACTTTGTCTTGACAGTAAGTATTTTCCAATTAGAATTTTTGGTGTTTATATACACACAAAAATAACAGTGAAAATAGTGATATCAGTCCCCTGTATAAACTGGATCCCTGTCCATTTCGGCCAAAATTTTCATTATATTCTCTGTACAATTCCCTCTGATAAACTAGGCACTGTCTATTCCTTATCCTGACTTAATTATTCCACCAAATGAACTAATTGTTATCATACAAATCAGCTGTCAAAACTGGCATTATTGGAAGTAATAATATAACTTAAAAATTGATTGATATGCAATAAAAACAAAACCAAAGTCAAATTAACTAAATGACAAAGCATGAATAAACAATGCCTGAACTGTATTCATAAACAATGCCTGAACTGTATTCATAAACAGGCTATTAGCATTGAATTATTATTAAAGTTCAAACAGATAATTACAAATAGAGTTTAAAAATATTGAAGTGCCTTGATGGCCAAGTGGACTAAGTAGTTCATCAACAGTTATAATTAGCCTGTTTACTCTGAGGTTGTGAGTTCGAACTATTGTCTATGTGTGTTCCACTCCTTTTTAAATTCACAAGGATTGCCACCTTTCCTTCCAAAGGCTGGTGAATGGTTCTCTCCAGTATTCTCTTAAGGTACATTAAGGTAAAAAAACAGATTTTTTATTCAGTTTACAACAACAGAAGCCAAGTGATGACAATAGCTGAAAACAAATCTGGGTCCATTCGCCCAAAATCACGTCATTCCCATTCACGTGTTCCACTCCTTTTTAAATTAACAAGGACGTGATCGATTACCACATTTCCTTCCAAAGGCTGGTGGTTCTCTCCAGTATTCTCTTAAGGAACATTAAGGTAAAAGAACAGATTTTTTATTCAGTTTACAACAACAGAAGCCAAGTGATGACAATAGCTGAAAACAAATCCAGGTCCATTCGCCCAAAATCACGTCATTCCCATTCACGTTCGCCCCCTTTCACGTTCGCACCCCACACATTTGCATCCTGGGTCAGTTCACACCCTTTTTATTGGTTTTGTGTCGATTAATTTTTTAATTGTGTTTTAGTTGATGTATTGCTATAAATATGTTTTTGTTATTGTTTCAGCATAAAGTGACATTCTATAAACGTAAAAAGGATTCCTACTTCATGCACTTTAACCGTACATAATCATTCAAATAATAAAATATTTCATTTAAAAAACAACACTGAAATGTTAAGAGTAACTTCTTAAACAAATGGGAAATGTGTCCATGGGACACATATGATGCCCCGGCTTGCATGTAACGTTATAAAGGGACATAACTCAAGAACTTTAAAAGTGACGCTACCCAAATTTGTACTTGATCTGAGTTTTGTGGTAATAAGCATTGTTTATAAGTTTCTTAGTATTTAGTTGGGGCAAACTTAAGTTAGAGAACAGAAACGAAAAATTCAGCAATTTTTCCATTTGTAAAGGGGTATAACTCTAGAACGGTAAAAGTGACGCTACCAAAATTTGAACTTGAACTGTGTTTTGTGGTAATTAGCATTGTGCATAAGTTTCAAAATATTTGGTTGAGGCAAACTAAAGTTAGAGAACAGAAACGAAAAATTCAGCATTTTTTCCATTTGTAAAGGAGCATAACTCTAGAATGGTAACAGTGACACCACCAAAATTTAAACTTGATCTGTGTTTAGTGTAATAAGCATTGTGTATAAGTTTCATAACATTTGTTTGAGGCAAACTAAAGTTAGAGAACAGAAACGAAAAATTCAGCAATTTTTCCATTTGTAAAGGGGCATAACTTTAGAACGGTAAAAGAGACGCAACCCAAATTCAAATTTGATCTGTGCTTTATGGTAATCAGCATTGTTTATAAGTTTCATAACATTTGATTGAGGCAAACTAAAGTTAGAGAACGGAAACGAAAAATTCAGCAATTTTTCCATTTGTAAAGGGGCTTAACTCTAGAATGGTAAAAGAGACGCAACCCATATTCAAACTTGATCTGTGTTTTGTGGTAATAAGCATTGTGTATAAGTTTCATAACATTTGGTTGAGGCAAACTAAAGTAAGGGAACGGAAACCAATTTTGGGACATACAGACGGATGTAAGTACAGACAGACAAGGGTAAAACTTAATGCCCCCTCCTCTACGGTGGGGGCATAAAAAACCCTGAAACATCACATTATACACCATTAACACACAGATACTATCTAATATGCACTAATATTAATGTATTAAATTCAAACAACAGTCACAACTGTAATCAAAGTTCAAAGTCTACTGTGGCGGAAAATCGTCAACTGGTTTGTCTGATGGTCCATACAGTCTTCATCAAATCCCCCCCAAAAACATTTCATTTTTAAATTCCTGAATTTTTATTAATAAAAATATAAATAATTTGATTTATACATCAAAAAAACATCTAATCATTCAATTGGTTTTTGTATAAAAATAGGGTGCGAACGGACCCAAGGGAAGAACTTGTAGGTTGCCAACATGTATTGGGAGCGAACAGACCTGATACCACTGAAAACAGATTTTCTTCCAAGGATCACCATGATAAAGAGATTTCGAGAACTCTGTAAGGTGTTTAAGGCAATAAGTTATGTAATAAAGGTATTTTGGTAGTGTCGCTGTGTTATATTGTATTATTAACTTGACGTCAGCTTTTGCAATCCAAAATTCAAATTTAGAAGTAAATGAAACTTAATTGAATATTATAGTTCATAGTCTAAACATAGTAAAATGTTGTTAAGCTGTTCAAGACAATATGGATATAAAAATGAAAATTGTTGCATTATCAGAAATCCATAAAAAAAGGAATTAATTTTTATTTGAAAGACAATACATAGCTCTACCTCAGATAGAATTTGTTCTAAAATATGCTTCCTATTCATATTTTTGATAAATACTCAAAACTTTAGTGCCAAAATCAGCTATGAAAATTGTGTTTATTAAACTTATAGAATGCAAGTTTATAAATAACATAATATTGTTACAACTTCAAAATACATAGATCAAAACAAAAAGCTATAAATCAGTGAAAAGATTTTTGAAAATGATGTTGATTGAAATATGATCAAATTAGTTCTAAAGCTATGATATAGTGCACCAAGGTATAATTTCTGACAACTACATATTGATCTATAACCGAAATTGTCTTATGGTTAATATGCATGGTTTTAGTTGTGAAGAACAAAGTGTTTATGTACCTTTATTGGTTAGAATACTGTGTAGTGAAATATAATCAAATTAATTCTCCAGCTGTCATAAAGTGCACCCAGAAGTAATTTCTGACAACTACATATTGATCTATGTCTGAAATTGTATTTTGGTGAATATGTATGGTTTTGGTGGCGAAGAACAAAATGTTTATGTACTTTTATTGAGATAGAATACTGCATAGTGAAATATGATCAAATAGTTCTCCAGCTTTCATAAAGTGCACCAAGGAGAAATTTCTGACAACTACATATTGATCTATGTCTGAAATTCTATTTTGGTGAATATGCATGGTTTTGGTGGTGAAGAACAAAATGTTTGTGTACCTTTATTGCGATAGAATACTGTGTAGTGGTAGACGTAGTAAATGACATGATGATATCATCCATGTCTGTTGGTAAGTTGGCTCTGTCTTCCTGGAATATCACTGCATTTCCTGTATTCTCTTTGATTGTTACATTTAAATAAAATTTTGATCTCTCTGTTTTAAGAAGAGGTGCACCACTAGGATCTGTTATGTGAATCTGTCAAAAGAAAAGACACTATGATTGAATAAGTAAAAGTATAAGTGAAAGTCATGTCTTGAGGTATAAATCTAACAGAGGTTTTAAGTCAATTTTCAAACGGAAAAAAATTCTCAAGCTGAACCCTATCCTTAGAACTTGGTGAAATACAGAATGCAGTTTAAAAAAAAAAAACTTCAATCTGAAACACAATTACTGAAGCTTCAAATCTACCATTTCCCTTTCAGATCTAAGAACTCAGTCCTATACAACAGAGTGATATGTTTATTTATAAATGTCAATCAAATATAAAAGAATATTTGTTAGGAGAACACTGAATCCCTAAATGCATGGTTGTAAGTTCCTTTATAAACATGGAGACAATTTAGGAACCAGAAGTGCCTTTTTGGGGGTTGAAAATTTTATCATGTGACAGGTTATGCTCTACTGAATTCAAGAATATCTGGTTGTAAGATACTATTGCCAACCAGATGTGACTCTTGAAAATCAAATGTTTTTTTGTTGAAACTTGTACCCACTGATAGCATATATCCTCTGGAATCCCAAAGTACATGGTTGCTAGGTACTTTATGCAATAAAAAAAGTATTCACTGTTTGACAGAGGTCAAATTCTATCAGGTCACATGTCAAGGAGTCCCAATGGTAAAGACTCTAGGTACCTTCGCCTGATAGCTTCCTAATTATCTCCACTTACAACTTTTGTGGAACTTTCAGTTGGGATTATCTCATTTGTGTCAAACTTAATAAAGTTGAGGCTTGATGTCTGAATCATTTTTCCATATTTACTTTTTTGTATTTCTTAAGGCTTTCATCATCTTTACATAAAAGATCTAATATGGAAAGGTCATGTTGACAATTTGGGTCATTTTGAAATAATACTGATAAGGGTGGGTGGCCAGTAGCATCACTAGTTATAATTTAAATCAAATGGATTTAGTTTAACTTCTATGTTTTTTTGATTGGAATGGCAACCTGCTTAGTTAGTTGGCTGTATTGAGAGATACAACTTTGAAACTTAACAGCCTAGGAATAATTCAAACAAAAGTTTGGCTAAAACAGGCTTAGTAGATCTTTGTGTGTACTATCACTTACATTCCAGGTGAAACTATGCTCCTCAGTGGCGATCATACTGGATTTAGTATGATCGCCACAGAGGAACATAGTTTCACTTAGAATGTAAGTGATAGTACATCTGATGCAAGTTTGAAAGTCAGCCATTTATGAAATCAATGTGATGGGAATCATTCATGGAAAGATTGGAAGAGTAGTTTAAATAATTTTAAATCATATTTAGGTACGGACAAAAAAAACATCAATACAGCATTATTGCTGACAATTGCATTAACTGCATGTCTTTAGAAGGATAAGCACTTTTTCAGTAGATAAAATGAGCTAAATGTGAATCAGTGGTAGAGGTCCCTTAATTTGCACAACAATTTTGTTTAAATTGCAATTTCATATCTTAACCAAATAATGTTCCCTATTACATGTTCACCTTCTACGTTTTATCTTTAGAAACCAAAGAAATTATCAAATAAAGATTCTTCTAATTCAGTTTATCGATCAATTATCCTTGTAGGCCAAGGAACCATGGATAGACTTGAAACTAAGATCTTTATTGTCTCCAAAATTGAATTACGGCCCCACCATGTCTCTGATTGTTTGGTGATCATGGCTGTTGTATCATTACTCTTACCTTATTATACTTTAAAAGTAGAGGTATACAATATTGAGGATCTATAAATTGCAATTCAATCCAGAATAAATCAAAAATGTTTTTCATTATTCTTTTTTCAATATATCCTCCACATCTGATTATTTTAACATAACTACATGATACCAAAATAAGTGCACATGACACCTAAAGTACAAGAATCATAAAAAATAATTTATAGTATCAGCCTATCTTAATTGGTTACCATATATACCAACAGACAAGTCTCAAATGGGGACATTAACTACAAAAACAAACTCATACGGAAAGAATAAAGTCTGTGATATTATCAAACATCAACTTTTTAAGACATTCCATTTTAACAAATGTCAGTTTCATGTTTGTTTTCACATTTAGTGATCATGTTTACCAAATTTTCTGGAAAAAAGCTGACATGGCAACAAGCTTTAACTGATTTATTTAAAATTTATCTAGATGAACCTTATAATGTAACCTACAAGAAACTGATGAAGTAATGGAAGGTCAACACCCTAAACAGTTAATATACTAAATGACAACCATGGTGATGGGTTCATTGGATACAATTCAGTCACTGCTGTAAACAGTATATATATAACAACAGATGTTTCTGGAGCTCACTGAACAACATCAATTAAGTACTTATTCTATACAGATGTCAAGGAGTACTTTGCTGTACTGTGGATTTTTTTATGTTCATGAGTTCCAATTTTCGTGGATTGAGGAAAACTTGCATTTTCGTCGCTATTTATTTTCGTGGTTTTTAAATTTGCATACATTCCCATAGAAATTTGTTATTTGTTAAACATTTAAATTTGTGGTACCCCTGTACCCACTAAAATCCAACAAATAATGATGAATCAATAGTACTTTAATTCTTAAGTTTTGCTTGGAAGGATTAAGTATTGAATAGATAAAACAATACTTAAAAGTAAATAAATTCTAAAAGGCCAACTAAAATTAATTAGTAGATTTTCATCCAGATTTTTAAAAAAAATAGGGCAGGTGGTAGGATTTTATTCTTTAATTCCTATTTCCTCCTGGGACTATTATACTCCAGCTTCCTTCCAAACCCTTTTGTAATGTGTTCTTTATATGCAAAGGTAATAATAAGCTTACATCATGTATATATAAGGAATTCTACATAATTTTTAAATTTATTCAATAAATATTTCTGATTGGCAATCACTGTTCTACATGTATTTTTAGCTTTGGAAACCTAATTTCAGTAAATAGCAAACATGTGGAGAAATGCTCTCTATTAGACAACCTACATCAAATTTATTTTGCTTTATAAGCTATGGTTTGTAGTGCCCATAAAAATAAGCATATGCATTGATATGCAACACAAGTATTTTGAGTACAGAGTGAAATGAAAACTCAAAACTGTGTTTACTAGGATTGGCACTTTTAAGATTCTTATGCAAGGTGGAAATAAATACAATGTAAATCATAAACTTAACAAAATAGAATTTGCTTAATGACTCTATTGAGTGGCTGGGAACAGAGGGTGTTTGCTGTTTGTCAACAAAAAACGACAGCCTTAGGGTAAATCTAAGGGTTTCCTATAATACATTTAGTATGGTGGCCGTCGTACTCAATATACGGTCATAAATCGCAGAAGTTTGTGTTTGTGTCAATTTCTTTATTGCAGTTATGTTTTTTGTACCAATGTGTTTCACGATTCTTGGGCTGTGGATATCATTCACAGTCCAAATTTGTATAAATAAAAAATCCACGGTTTTCTAATCACTGAAATTTGTGACATACTGCAATTTGCGTTCTTCAAGACACCACCTATTACTCGTAACCCGAATATTTCATGCCCTTCCAGCAATCATTCTCTATTCTCGGAAGATAATTTTGTCATCATTGAGCAGAATAAGATTTTGGTTAAATTACCTCGAAGAAATACAAAAACCAAAATTTGCAACAGGAAGTTTTGAATGAAACAAAAATTATTGGCAGTAACCATTAACGGAAATGAACAAAATACGGAAACCGTAATTTAAATAAGAGTAAGAAAAAAAAATTGAGGCGGGCGGGGATGAAAATCTATCAATTAATTTTAATAGGCCTAATCATCAATTGCAAGATATGGCTTATTGGATTGGAAGATGGCAATTTTTGTCATTATAATTAAATTTGGACTTGAGAGTCACTGAAGAAAGCTTCCTATACTCTAATGGCTCTCTGTTTAAACAATGTTAATTTATATGTCTTAAATTTTTTAATTGTTGAATTTTATTGACATGATCGGAGTACTAATATCCCAAAAAATGATATATTTTGAGGACAAAAAGGGCCCAGAAAAATGACAAGTAATGTGAATTATTGGTAGCTTACAGATATTAAATTTTATCCTTTTCTACACCATGATCTCAGTTCTATTCTCTGCCAATAATCTTCATATATTGATATTGCTAACAAAAGCTAACCTTTAGAAATCTCATAGAAAGGAAATAATGGTTAAAAATGTCAAAGATTTTAAGATAAAATTTGTATTCTCTCTGGGATAAGTAATTTCCTAATTATAACAGAAGACAATTTATCATGCAATTTCTATAGTTCTATTTTTATTATTATGACATTGCAGAGGATCACGTAAAGATATTGAAGTCAGAAGGGATTACTTTATTCAAGTTGAAAATATGAGAACTTTTTCATTTTTCAAAATCTACCAAACATTACATAATAGTTCAGTTTAAGATTAGCTGTTACATTGGAATGATGAGTTTCAGATTATGTCAATAAAGATCTTGTTTTCCATGATATTCTATGTGAAAATAGTTGCTAATTAAGGTGCTTGAACCAATATAGCAGCCTATAATCCAGTGTTTGTATTTGTCAAAGCTTTAGGTTTTTGTACCAATCAAGTAACTTGTTGTGTTTATATTTGTTAAGTAGTGCTGAAAGGGATGTTAAACACAAATAAAATGCTCCGCTGGGGCGCAGCTTGATACGACCGCAGAGGTCAAACCCTGAACAGTTGGGGCAAGTATGGACACAACATTCAAGCTTGATACAGCACTGAATTTGGATTGTAATTAAATATTTGACACAGCATAAGTTTCTGACACAGAGTGAAAGTGGTCTAAGAACTTGTAATTTTTTAATTTACCTATTCATACATGTGATGGACTGTGAAACTCAGATCAGGAGATTGGGAAATTTTGGTCAGGAGATTAGGACTCAGATCAGGAGGTTTTTAATCGACATAAATTTTTGTCGTAAATGTAACCGTGTGCTGTAAAAATGGTCTTTTAAAGTGTGTTTTCTTCAACTTTCCATCCAATTTATTATGTTT